GCTAGACATTATATTTTTTGTGTAATATCAGAGTTAGTTTATGCAACAACCGAAGAAATCCCATCTTGAGATTGCACTGCGAGTAGTGAGGCATGTGAAGAAAGATCCAGGGCAAGGTCTTTTGTTTGAAGCTTCGAAGGACATTAAGATGACAATCTTTTTTCAATTCAGATTGGACCTTGTGCTCAGTGACAAGAAGATCAGTTTCAGGATCTTACATAAAGCTGGGAAATTCTTTAATCTCTTGGAAGGCGAAGAAGAATAGTACCATAGCTCGTTCGTCCGCTGAGGCTGAAGCATGGCTGTAATGACTACTGAAATCATTTAGCTAACTGGACCGATGGAAGAATTAGGGTGAAGTGCAAGCTTCTTGTTACACTTTTGAGTGATAGCAAGTCAACCATTCAAATATCAGCCAACCTAGTCTTTCATGAAAGGATTAAGTATATCAAGATTGATTGTCATTTTGTTCACGAAAAGATACAAACCAAACTGAGTATGTGTCTACAACAGATCAAATTATAGGTATCTTTACAAAAGAGTTGGGAATTCAGCGGCATAATTATTTGATGAGCAAATTAGGAGTTAAGAATATATTCTACCCTCCAATTTGAGGGGAGTGTTGGAATAATTAGCTGTGAATTAGTGGATAGTTTGTTACATTAGTTAGTTGATAGTTTGCTAGAGTAGTTGTGCAGTTATTATTTGTGTGTATATACATGAACTTTAATTGATGAAATATTTTTCAATACTCTCTTTAGTTTCTTAACATTTTTCTTCATAGGTTTCACTTGAGAGACGCTTTTAATTTGTCTTAAACCATCAGTGGCATGATCTAGGTGTATATCCATTGTAAATTTCTTTTGTTCATAGGCCAAATTTAGATGTTTACCCTCTGAGCAAACTGCTTCAATTAACCATACTTCACAAATGGCTCAAAACACATATCAACGGGATGATGCAACATACATAGGGCTGTTAATCTATCCTGACGTTTCTTCACCGATATTTTCTTCAAAAACATTTCATTTTGTTCAAATAAAATCCCCCGTTGTGTGTAAATTTGGTAGGGGTTTGTAGGGCTGTAAAAAGTTGACCTGACTTGTAAAACTAACTGAAACCGACTCGAGTCAAAACTGTTTTTAACCTGCACTGTGGCGATCCGAAACCGACTCGATTCGGAATTGGTGTTGACCTGAACCCGATTTAGACCTGGAAATTGTGGATCTGAACCTAACCTGCATCCGACCTGAGAACGACCTGAACCCGAATTGAACCGAAAATATGATACTCGAACTGCATCCAACTGATATGAACCCGAACCTGAGATTGACCTGGTAAATAACTGGTATTACCCGACCTGTTTTCAACCTGACTTGTTTTCAACCTGACATGTAAATGATCCGACTTGTTAATGACCTGATCTGATATTTATCTGACTTATATATTACCATGGAAATCTTATAAATTATCAGTTTTTTAACTTATGATGTAATTAAAATATTAATAAAATTACTTTTTAAATATTATAATAAAATATTTATTATGATAATTATATTAATAAATAGACCTATAATATAAAATTATTTAATAAAATTAAAAAAAATTATTTAAATGTAAATTAGATAAAACATTATTAATAATGCAAAGGAAAATTAATATAGTTTAATTTATATAAATTATATAGTTTAATTTATATAAAAGAAAAAAATAATATTAATAATAAAATTATTTATTATGTAATATATATTAATGGTTTACATTAATAATATAAATAATTTTGGCAATAAAATAATAATTAATTTGATAATAAATGAATATTAGTATTAAATGTGATTAATTCTCTAAAATGTAAATATAAACTATAGCGTTTAATTTTTGTACAAAATATTATCTAACAATATTAACATAAATGAAAAATAATATAAATATAAACTATACCGGTTATATAAACTATATACTTTATTACTTTATATAGCTTATGCATAGTATTTCTATAAATTGCATCAAATTGAAAATTTAAGAAGATATTTACAATTAAATCATGACTAAAATGAAAGAAATTAAAAATCAAATACAAGTAGCAAAATGATGATTGTTGGAGGAGCATGAGCCTAATTAACCCAAAATATCTTGTTAGACACTATATTTGGCGCAAACTTCCCAAATTTTCTATTCTCTCTAAATTTCCCAATTTCCCTCTAAATTCCAATTTCCCTTTATTCTCAAAATTTCCTAATTTTCCTCTAAATTCCCAAATAAAATCAAAAAATTTCAGACAAAAATGTTTCTTTTAAAAAGTTTTCTCCCACCACTCACTTTGAATAATATATATATATATATATATATATATATATATACATAAATATATATATATATATAATTAAACATAAGTGACTAAAATAAATGATTCTAAAATTAACATTAACATTTAATAATTAGCCTACATGTATTACAAATATATGCATTTAATAAAAAAAACAAAAAACCCTAAATTACTCCTAATCACCGATTTTTGTGGTGTAGGAGAAAAAAATTTTGACTTTGGTTTTTGAAAGGAGACAAAACACTAAATGTTGGCCTAACTTTTTAGGTGGTGTGATATCACTGATCGATGGCTAAAGGTACTAACAAATTTCAACCCTTGGATCAAAAGTAGATCCAATGGCCAAGATATTATCTTCTCCAAGAACACTCTAAGCTTCATTAATGTCTTATATATAAATTCTAATTATTTTTAATTTTCCTTTCTTTCTTTAATGTGCATAATTATTAAATGTTAAAGTTAATTTTAGAATATTTTATTTTAGTCACTTATGTTTAATATATATATATATATATATATATATATATTATTCAAAGTGAGTAGTGGGAGAAAACTTTTTAAAAGAAAGATTTTTGTGTGAAAAAATTTGATTTTATTTGACAATTTAGAGGGAAATTAGGAAATTTTGAGAATATAGGAAAATTGGGAATTTAGAGGGAAATTGGGAAATTTAGAGGAAATAGAAAAATTTGGGAAGTTGGGGCCAAATATAGTCCAATAAGATATTTTGGGTTAATTAGGCTTATGCTCCTTCAACAATCATCATTTTTCCACTTGTATTTGATTTTTAATTTCTTTCATTTTAGTCACGGTTTAATTGTAAATATCTTCTTAAATTTTCAATTCGATGCAATTTATAGAAATACTATGCATAAACTATATAAAGTAATAAAATATATAGTTTATATAAACCTTAAACCTTAAATCAAAAACCCTAAACCTTCAACCCTAAATCATAAACCCTAATATATATATAGACCATGTATAGTATATATAAACTATATATACCTCTATATATATATATATAAACTATATAAAGTAAATTACTTATATAGTTTATAGAAACACTATGCATAAACTATATAAAGTAATAAAATATATAGTTTATAGAAACCCTAAACCCTAAATAGACTAATGCATACATATATATACTATATTAATATAAATTATAACATATAAACTATATATTTTATATAGTTTATATATATATATATATATACTATATTAATATAAATAATATTTTATAAACTATATACTTTTTATAGTTTATATACTTTTATAGTTTATACATATATAGTTTATATACATAGTTTATATATATAGTTCACATAAACATAATTTATATATATAGCTTATAATAATTATATAGTTTATAATATAAATATAGTTTATAATTTTATATACATAGTTTATATATATAGTTCACATAAATATAATTTATATATATAGTTTATAATAATTATATAGTTTACAATATAAATATAGTTTATATATAATTTTATATTATATATATATATATATATATATATATATATTCAATTTTTTAAATGAATGCAAGTTAGTATATTTTTCATTATTTCTTCACATTTTGCATTTATTTCGATTTAATCCTTTTGTGTTTTTTAATTTATTTCAATTTTAAGTCTTTCACTTTTATATGTATTCAATTTAGTCCTTAAATTTATATTTACATATTCCATTGTTAGTTGTTATTTATTATATTTTTGTAATTGGCCCATAATTTTTTAAATGTGTTTAATTTAGTCCTTTTTTATATTAATTTAAACCTCACATTTTAAATTTATTTTGATTTAGTCCCTTACCTATGTGTGTTGTTTAATTTATATTTTAAGATTTTATTTGTAATTTTACATTTCTTCAATTTTGTCATTAAATTTATATTTTTTACAAAATTGATCCATGAATATTTATTTTTCTCTTAATTTACTCGAAATCATATACAATTACAACTTGCAATTCAACAATCACGAAAGATGAAAAAATAATTAATCCAAAAAATAAAAATGACTCGACCTGAACTCAATCCGTATCTGATAAACATCCGACCTGAATTTTATATGTCAATGATGTGACCCGATCTGAACGAGATCCGACTGAAGTCCACCTGAACCTGAATTAACATGGTCTTTATCTGGTTGGGACCTGAAGTGTTTTTAGCTGAATTGACATTGATCCGAACTGAAAATGACCCGACCTGAACCCGATTTGGATCTGGTGACAAATCAACCTGAAAATAACCCGAACTGATTTGACCTGACCTGAACCCTATCTGAATCTGGTGTCAAATCAACCTGAGTTGACATGTACCCGATTTTACTCGACCTATCAAGATCCTACTGAAACCTGTCCCATTACCTGATTTTACAGCCCTAGGGGTTTGTTTTTGGTTCCACACAATTGAATTTGTACGGATGCTGATATTGGTTTGAAATTTTTATGTATGTTTTAATTGTGAGCCCACTTTTCATGCAGTAGATCAGCCCAAAGAAGATCCAACCCATGATCAAATCAAACAAACCCTACCCTCCAACGGCTACTCCCTTTTCTTAATTTTATCTTGACGGCTCCAACGGTCATATTTGAGAAATCACCGTTTGAATTTGGCTATAAGTCCCCCTCTAATCTTTGCCCTTCTCAAGCATTGCATCTATCCTGTCCCTTTATCCATTGATTTAGAGTTTGAAGTTTTGAACAGCTACAGTTCCTCATCATTCTTGGGGGAAAAGGCTTTCTTTTTGGCAACACAAATCTGCGTTTCCAGAGACTTTTCGATTGATTTCCAATGGAGACACCTTCTTCTGCGAGAAGAGTGACCAGGTCACAGACTTCGGCTGCTTTGAACAACAGTATTACTGTTTCCAGTGAGTCATTTTCACCTTTTTTTAGGGTTATCAAATATTTTATATAAATGGGTTTTCATTATTCATTCTTGATTGGTTCCCCCCCCCCTTCTTTTTTTTAAGGAAATAATGAAGAGTCTGGGAAGAAGAGTGCGTCGAAGACAAGAACAAGAAACGGAAAGCAGCAACAAGAAGACAGGTCTGCCCTTATTGACATAACAAACGATTCACCCATTGTCGGGCTTGCATTTGGGACGCCGAAGTCTGACATATCTAAGCCGTGGGGAGGCAAGAACACGAGGATGATGACTCTCGGTTCCGGTGAGGCATTGCTAAGGGGACAAGTCAAGAATCTCCTGCAAAAGGTTGAAGAAGAAGCCAAGCTTTCGAAAGTTACGTTGGACAACCGTCGTCCTTTTCTTCATCTTCAAAGTTGTGTGAATTCCCCAATGGGGATTTTGGCTCCTACTCCTGCAAATACACCACAAGTTGAGGATGGTATTAACAACACTGGAGTGATGATGGCACTTCCTGTTTTTGAGGAAAAGTTGAGGATTTCTGAGGTTAGATTTTCAAACTCTTGTTTTATTTGTTTCCCATTGAAGTTTGAATCATGTGAGATCAAAATTCTCAAATGTTGTTTGATCCTTTTGTGGAATATGATAGGTGATGACTAGTGGCATATTCGAGGGATTGAGTGTTGAATCCCAGAAAAGTATGATAACAAGGTCTTTGCTGCTGGACTTTTCTGAGAAATCAGAAACCTCAGATTCAACAGAATGCGATTCGGTGGTGACAAATGAAGGAGTGATAAAAGGGGAAAGCTATGCAAGCAAAGAGAAGGCATCCATTGATGATGATAACTCCTCTGTTTGGTCAATGCAGGTGAATACAAGCACCCATGGTGAAGATGAGGAAACAATTGAAGAAATGGGAGATGATTACTATGAAGAAGAAGAAGAAACAATGGGTGATGATGGAGGGTTGTTGGTTGATGAGCTTTGTGAGGGTTTAAGCAAGATGAGCATGAAAGAGAAGTTCAAAGGGAAACACACAAGATTTGTATACAACAGTGATGATGAGCTTGAAGAAGAGTGTGTGGAGGATTCATCTGAGATTATGCGGTTGAAGGGATTGCCGACGCCGAAAGGAAAGCACTTGCGATTTCCTATGGACGATGATGAATAAACTATCTGGGCTAGATTATAAATGGTGGTGGAGTTGTCTTCGATTCCTCATCTTTGGGATTCTTTTTCTTTTTGTCATCTGCATTTGTTTGTTGCTTTCTTGGAAAAACAAATCACCAATCAAGTGATTGAATAAACGACTTCCTTTTATTATATTGTCTATGATTTGGGATTCATGGAGGCTTGCAATGACACTATCCAGTTTTCTTATGAGGGGGGAAAGGAGAAAGAAATGCAATTCTAATATTAAAATAGCTATAAAAACAAAGGGATGTCCTGTATCCAGTGTTCTGATGCCAAATGTTCCTTTCCTTCAAGAGTTCACCGCCCAAATTAGCATGTTTGCTTGCTTCCCATTAGCAGCATCAAATTCACTGACTGCAGAAGCAGCCAACCTAACGCCTCATTGCAGCCTGGCCAGCATCACTAATGCTTTAAGTTGTTGCAGAGGTCGGTCTGCCCACTGCCCTCTGTTACATTGGATTGCTCAGGTTCTTGCACGTGAGAGCTACTGCTTCAAGAGATCCAATTCCAGTACCAGAATGAGTTACTTGATGAACCTGATTGTCTGCTGCTAAATAGCCTTCAGTATGACTAATCTAGCACTTGCATCAGCCAAGCCTAGAGCACTAGAACTGGTACCGGAGACAGGAACAAAATTAGGATCAAATCTTGAGAAGGGTCAATTGTCTAAGCTCAAAATAACAGGGACTCTCTAAGTACTTAATCTCAAAAGTTGTGGAGGGGGCCAAAGCTTAATTTGACTTAAATTTAATCTGATAGGAACCTAAAGTACCATTGGATCAAAAAAATTTGGTATCAGTCTCTCCCACTCTGTAATGTGGCTCCATCTCTGACCGGACAAAAGAAACTTTAATAAAGGCCTCCTGTACAGTAACTATAAGAAACTTTTAACTAACAGCATCTCCTTCGTCTTCTTAACAACAAAAAGATCAATTAAGTTACCAAAAGACAAGAAAAAGGGCAATACAAGTTGACATAGCAAGTATCAAATACTTTATGCTCATCAGGATAAAGATACTAATCAAAATCATAAAAGTAGGATCAAAACATTCTTCAGATGGTTTCAGAAAACGCCAAGCCTTAAATACATTAGCAACTAATATAATAAATTGATGTCAATCATGATATTCAGTGCCTAATATAACCAAGAAAATATGTAAATTGATGCGAGAACATGGATATCATGATTTTTAGTACCTGTACTTCCATGGTTGAATGGCCATACATGATACATCTTTTCAAGTATTGTTACACATGTGTCATATAGGCCTTCCTTACGAGCATTACAGGGCAAGCATCTCAAATAAAATGCTATCATCAGAAAAGAAATATGGACTGGGGTCCTCTTATCTTAGCCCTCGACTTGATTGGAAAATATTATATCTATCATATATTAATTAAAATCTTATTTTATATTTTAAATATATACTTGTTTTTAAAACATAGTGAGGGCATATCTAGGTGTGCCACCAAGTAAGGAGACATGACCTAATCAAGGCAAAAGGGTTTGCTTTCAGTTTCACTTTCACACGTTTTTAGAAATTAAACTAACCGAATCAAATAAAAACATGGATGGATGATCCAATCCAACCACCACATGTCAACTTCAATTAACGAAATTCCAGTGAAGTGAACGCCAAGAAACTTAAAACTCCAATACCCATAAACTACTTTTATTTAGCTAATTACATCAAACTCCATTTCTAACGACCCTTCCACTTTTTTTTTCATGCGGTCATAAAAAGATCTTCTTTTCACCACCTGATCAAAACTCATTCACTGCACTTCCACACACCCTTTAAAATTTTTCTCTATAGCCATGGAGGCAGAGGAAGCCAGTGGAATCACCACTGTCGGACGGGAGGATATCGATACCCGACCACCCTTTCGATCTGTTAAGGAGGCTGTCATGTTGTTCGGAGAAAAAGTTTTGGTTGCAGAAATTTATGGCAACAAGCTCAAAGAGGTTCTCTTTTTTCTGTACTTACATAAAATAATTCATGCATATGTTCGTGCTAAGTTTGTACATATCTAATATCAAATATTTGATAGTATTGTACATTATACATATGTATATAAATACGAGGTTATGACGTATTACATATATCTATATCCATATTCGATACTCTTGTATTGTCAGATGAGAGTTGAAGAAGGAGAAAGCCGGAAAGGCCAATCAAAGATTGCAGTACTAACGTCCGAGCTAGAAGAAACAAAGCAAAACCTGCAAAGGACCAAAGATGAAGGCAACTTAATGTCCTGCGACATAAAAGCATTAAAAGAAGAGCTTGAAAAAACGAAAAAAGATCTGCAGCAGTTCAGGGAAAAGGAGTTTCAGAAGCAGCGATTTGAGCCTGAGAAAGAAGAGTTCAAGTTCATGGAAAAGTCAACCCAAAAGGGTTTCATAACACAAAATGAAGAGCCTGCAGATGAGTTCCAAAAGAAGAGATACGTGAAATCTGCAAGGCCTCCTTCATTAGCACAAGTTGTTGTCAACAAAGAGGAAATGGTGGGAAAACCAGTTAAGAAAGTAAGAAGGAAGCCAACAATCTCCATGATTGGATGGCTTTTTGCCAAGAAGAAAGGAAGTCGAGAAGATGACCAATCCCTTAGAATAAATGACTTTCAAGGCATTAGCAGTTGAGCTTGTTGGGTATATTACCTTTGTTGGAGTTGCCACCAGGAAAAATGCAATTGGAGAGCTTCTGTAATAAACTGATAATCATAGATCATTGCCCTGAAATCAAATTTTCTATTATTGGGTGTATGTTTTTTGGCCTCGTTAGTTTGAACAAAGAGGTTATAAATTGTACTTATATTTCAAAATCTATTAGGGAAATAAACATCTAAATATGATTTTAATCAGCACGAATCAACTTACCTAAGTGGTTAAAGGAATCGTTTTATTGAATAATAATTATGTTTGATATTCTTTTTTTAAGTACTCTGACCCTTAATGTAGATCTACGTAATTACTTGATGAGCGTGGTATAATATCATATTAATAAAAAATATTTAATTTTTTAACTTTAGGATAAATTAAATCCAAGCATGATAGGAAGAATGCTTGAGTAGTAAACTATTGAGTCAATGGGAAGGATAAAATAGCCAAGAGGGAGTGTCTTGACAAATAAAAATTTGGTAGAAGCTTAAAGGAAAAATGAAAAATTGAACACAAGATTTATAATAGTTCGACTTTCTAAACCAAAGTCTACATCCATTAATTTAGCTATCCACACTAAGGATTTTCACAAGTTTACTAATTTGTATCAACATTTGAGGACAAGGTGTAACCTTACAACTCCCTCAAGAATTATACTCTGAATTCTTGAGACACTCTCTCAAAGAGAAAATTACAAATTTGCTAACTTAGAAAAACCCCACAAGGAAATTGTTTGTATAATTCAAGAACAAATAAGAACACTTGGAAAATAAAACAAATGAGTACAAAAGTGATATTTGAAAGCAAAAAGAATATTGAAGAATGTTGACTATGATTTTGGCTCAATGTGATTTTTTTGGCTTTCTTTTAGATCTCTTGTCTTCAAATATGACTTGAGATCTTGTTTTTATAACTCTTTATTCAATTCTAGTTGTTTGAGTTGTTGTGGGAGTTAATAGAGCATTTGAGAAGAAATTTCCCGCAATAAATGCTACTCAAATGTCTTGAGTATCACTACTTGTACTTGGAGTATCGATATTGCATGCATTATATACAAAAATTTTAGCCGTTGAGGGGAGGAAGTATAGGTATTCATGAAGGAGAGTATCAGTACTCACCAAGAGAGTATTGATACTCATAGGAGTATCGATACTAAAATGGTATACTGGAATTTGCAATTGTCAAAAACATAAAGAATCGGTACTCTCATTTCAAGTATCGATACTGATATGAGAAGTATTGATACTTCATTTAGAAGTATCAATACTGCTTCACATTTTAAGCCATTTGTATCGATACCAATACCGGTACCACATGAACATTATCAATACTGCTCTTGCAGTATCAATACTGCAAGGTTAAAAATTGATTTTTGACTTGATTAAAATCCAAAACCCTTTGTAAAAATGTTTGAAAATTATTTTTAGTATATGACTTGAATTTTCAATAAAGTAAAGAGTAAAAATGGAGTTTTTGACCTTAAAAATAATTTCTATATTCGAACGATTGAATCAAATATAATCTTGAAAACCAAATCAAAATAATCTTAAAACTTCTTTAACAAATATTAATTTGGTAAATCAAAATATTAAAGCATGGTTCAAAAATATCATCTTTTTAATATAACAAAAACTTTGAATTTTTTTTTGTTGAAATTTTTAAGATTTTCTATAAAATAAATACTCCCCCACTCAAAAATTTCTCCCCTTTTTTGTTAATTCAAAAAGTTAAAACAAGATAGAAAAAATATATAAGCTGTGAAGATCAAATTTGCCTAAAAATTTAGTCAACATAAATAATATCTTTAAGCAATAAACATGGTCATAATTAAGAAATAAACATGTCTCAAATATAAAAAACTATAAATCATAATAATCATCCACATAACATAAATATCCAAATAAAAGCATTCAAGTCAAGGTAGGTTTGTCAAACCTAATTCTCTCATAAGTGCCTAAAATATTTCCTTATCTAAAGGTTTAATAAAGATATCCGCTACTTGATGCAAAGTGTCTACATGTTCTAGAACTATATCTTCCCTGGAGACATGATCTCTAATAAAATGATGTCTAATTTCAATATGCTTAGTTCTAGAATGTTGGATGAGATTGTTGGTGAGACAAATAACACTAGTGTCGTCACACTTGATAAGGATAGTACCCACATCAATTTCATAGTCCATGTGTTGTTGTTTCATCAAAAAAACTTGAGAACAACAGCTATCGGCTGGACTATTTCCAATTTCGGTGGTTGATAATGCTACACTATTTTGTTTCTTTGAAAACTATGAAATCAACATACTACTTAGGAATTGGTAAGTATAGGAGGTGATTTTCCAATCTAATTTACAAACTCCATAATCCACTTTCGAGAAGGCATGTAAGCTAAAGTTAGAGTCTCTATGATACAAAGTTATATATTATGAGTGTCTCTAAGGTATCTAAAGA